AACCTGGATCTCCCCTGCTTAAGTTTTAACCTGTTACCCCTTGTCTTATCTCTACAGCCACTGATGAAGAGTCCCTCTCCAGCATCCTTGCAGGTCCCCTTCAGATACTGGAAGGCTGCTATGAGGTCTACACACAGCCTTCTTCAGGCTGAACAGCTCAAATTTTCTTGGCCTGTCTGCATAGGGGAGGTGCTCCATTCCCCTTATCATTCTCATGGCCTCCTCTGGACTTACGATATTGAGACAGACAAAGCAGTAATGCATGCCTCTGTCTTGGCTTTATACTCCAGACACTGGTTACTGATAGGAGGAGACAAGCTTTGGGACTGGATGTTCTCATTCCTCATGAGCTGGGTGGATTAGCTTGTTCTAGAAGTTTGTTCTACCTTAGCTGTCCAAACTCACTGTTTAATTTGTCAGAGGGTTTCTTACAAGCATTGTAAGATGCATCCAGCTTTACTAGGCTGGTTCCTCATGGGCCAAGGGCCTCACATACGGGTTCACCAAGCCACAGTGGTGTATGAATGGGGGAAGCACAGCAATGTGAGCCAGCAGTGCTCCCAACTAAGCATTTACACATATGGGCTGGTGCACTGCTGTTCATCCTTCCTTCGGAGTGATACCAGCCCTGCTTTGTGCTTGAAGAGAGTGAGACATGTCCCTGCCCTGTTCTTTGTGCCCTGGGAGGGGTGACCAGCTCCATGAGCTAATGAAGCTAAAGACAGACAGACAGCAGTTGACAGATGCTGCTGAAGTGGGCTCAGAGGAGAGCAAAAGAACAACTCAGAGGCAGAAATTAAGAGATACAGATCTGCAGCCCATGGGCCTCAGCATAAACCTTCTCCTGCTGTGTTGCGATGGTCATCAGCGGAGTTAACCTTCCACTCTCATCACAATCATTAAATTCCTGCTAACGCCGCTGTCCTATGTCTGTCCAAACAGCTCTGTTAACTGTCACCTCCCCACACGGTGAGCCTGGCTCCCCACTGCAGCAGCTCTCATTAATGCTGCTCTGGCTGGCTGATGAGGCAAGCGGCATCCGGCTCCAGAGCCCAGATGAGTTTTGTAGACAGCAGGGGATGTTTATCCAACATGGAGGGGATGAAAGTACAAACAAAGAGAGACCGTACAATTACTCAGGCATCGCTGGTCTCATTAAAGACAGTCTCCGTGACAGGAATTAATCTGAAGTGACAACCCAGTGAGCTAATTTAGCAAAGGGGTCTGGGGCTTGGCCCTGTGCAAATTTCAGGGGTTGCTCCAGCAGGTACAACTGAGCCTGCTCCGAGGACGGGAAAGGCAGGAATGTGTTAAATTGGCCCCGTTCTGGCCTGAGCCTGTGTATTAGAAGTTATGGAGGAGACAGCAGCCCCAGGTCTCCTTGAGGGGCACAATGAAGATTAAACTTCTCTATTGCACCAATACCTTCTCCTTCTTTCTCCTGCAGCCTCAGGTCATGGACGGGTTCCAGCTCATTAAGTGCACAGTAATTCTGCCCCTATTCCCTGTAACTGTAACCGCCAGCCCAACTCAGATCTTTCCTCCATGATGCAACCTGCTTGCAATATTGGACGGCTTTTCATCTCTCTTTAATGTTAAAGCAGAGCCCTGGGAAGGGCTAATGCACACAGAGAGAAACAAGCAACTTAAAAGGCTTTTTATTTTTTAAGCAAAGATCCGGTTTGGGGAGGCTGCTTTGAGTACCCAAGCAATGAAGAATATTTTCAGCTGGAGTGCGGTGCCCCGATGCCTTTCTATGCTATGAGAATACATGTAATTAAAAAAGATGACCAAACAAGTAGCCCAAAAGCCTCATGGCATCTGCCCGCAACTAAACCACTGAAGGCTCCTTGAGTTCACTGGCTAAAGGGAAGTAAGGTGATTGGCATTTTGATCAGCTGCCTTGGAGCAAGGAAGGAAAAACCTCCCAAGCTGTCAGGACGGATGTCTGAGGCCTCTGCCACTCCTCAGAGGGGATCTACTCCTCTCTGAATTGCCTCACGAATTGAATCTGCTCCTCAACACAATGCCACTGCCTAAGCACACCTGACTGATGAACACTGGGAATTAAGAGCCTCTTTGCCAAGACATACATCTGAGGCTTTACAATGAGCCTGCTCCACATTGCTATCGTATGTGCTTTGCCTGGGTCAGTGGCTCCAAGCTGTCAGGCTGTTTATTTGGTTTTAATCAGAAGTTAATTCTCATTCTACTGGAACTGGTACGTCTGCTGCACTGCTCAGCCTGCTCCACAGTGGCAAGAACAATCAGCTCCCGTGGAATTGCACCCAACTGTCTCACTGGGAGCCCCCATGCATCGCTTAGGAAACCAAATTCCCCCAGACTGCTTGCAATCCTCCTAGGAATGCCCAAGCCGAACCAGACCTCAGAAGCTGTTGAACAGGAAGAGCTGGAGGAGCTACAGCACCAGCCAATTAATAAGCAGCACTTTTACTCTCACCCAGACCCATTTTCAGCAGCTGCAGCAAGCAAATTTAATTGAAGGGCTCCCAGGTGCCTTGCAAAGCATCCTGCTACTTGGGGATCTTCACATTACATATGCCAAGAGCTCTTCAAGCGAACCAGGGAAAGTGAAATGAAAAGCAGCAAACCATTTTACAACCAGTGCACATCCCAGCTCAGCAAGAGTTAATCCCCTCAGACAGCCCCTCACCACTCCTAGACTGCAGGCTCCTGCCACCACATTCATTCATCCTTCAGATGCTGAAGAGCACCTGCCAAGGACCACTGAAGCTGAGGAGCTCCCAGGGCTGGAGAAGAAGGTGGGCTAGCTGGCTGGGTAAGCTTTCATTAGCTTGATGCTGGTAATAAATCAGTAGTGTCTGGCTGCATGTAAGGCCTGTTTTATCTGAGGAGAGCATTCCACTTCAATCCTAGCTCTCTAGGGGGATTTTTGTACCCCGGAAGGCAGTGCCTGGAAGGCAGTGTATCCAGGGAGGAGGGCACACAGGCAAACAACAGCTCCTCATTCAGGCAGACAAATCCCCTTTCTTAAGAGCTCTCCAGTCAGCAACATTTTTAAGCTTTTGAGCTTTTCACAATTATATTCAGTAATGTCACTATGCTCTGCAGTCCAATGATGGAACAGCAGGATACAAAGCTTAGCCTAGGTGCCCCAGCACGGAGAAGGTGCAACAAGGCAAATAAGCCTGTGAGACAGGGAAGAGGGTGATGGCCCAAGGAAAATAGTGAAAGCTCAGATGTCACAAGGCTGCTTGGAGCCCAAGTGAGACATCATGGGCAAAACATCAGGAACACAGGACAAGGAGCGCAGAGGCAATGCTGGGAAGCAGCAGGCTGGAGATGAGAAGGGATGTGATCCACATTTCCATTTCATGGAAATGAAAAGGGCTCAGTGAGATCTCAGTATGGCACATGGAGGTAGAGACCTCATCATGAAATGCAAGTGTCTTCACTGGAGGGAGGCAATGAAGAGATGATACCATGAAAGCCTTTTCCAGAGTGTTTCCTACTTGTGCTTGATAAAGTGGTAACAAATCTCCCCTTCTTCCTCCTCTCTCTGCCTTTCGTTATTCAAACCAAGGCCAGCACGATGGCACCTGTAGCCATTGCTAAGAGCCTGCCCATACATGAGACTGGGCTACAGCACGGCCATGGCGTAACAGTCCTCTAAAACACACTGCTCAATACTCATAACTATGTGGTGTAGCTGATGGGGTTATAACAGTAGTAATTGATGGGGTACGAACAAAACCAGGGGGGTTAAATTTCCATGGGCACTCAGCTTACTTCATGTCATAACTTAAAGCAGAAATGTGATTTTCCTTTCTCTTGATCCCTTTCAGTAGAAGCTCAATGCATAAAAGATATAAGATTACTTCTAGGCACCTTGCAAAAGGAAAAAAAAAAACCAAACTCCTCAACATCACTGGAGAAGGATAAAAATCACAAATTAGTTCATGGAGTTGCAGTGCTGATAATAGCGAAACTTGGCTCAGAGGGAAGGGGTTCTATGACAAACTGCCTTCATTATTAGAGGCTCCCCTGTGTCCTGTATTCTTATTAAGCACTTCCAATGTGCTCTACACAGTCTGAGTAACAAACAAAGGCTGTCCCACCCCAGAGAGCTCACAATCAAACAGAGACATAAAACTGCAGCCTACTGTGCAGAACTAGAGGAAAGAGACACTTGGATCTTTTTAATTATTTTGTTTTTTATCTACAGTAACAAACTTTTCCTCACAAAAAACATTTGCTTCCAAGCTACCACTGAATGACAAGAACCACCAATTTTATGTGTCCCCATTTTTAAAAAATGTTGAACCCAGCCATTTGCTGAGCTTGGATGAAAGTACCTTGTAATCCTGCTAGGTTAATGTGCTCTTTAAAAACACTAGACCCTTTTTCCCTAGCCTTCTTCAACCAGTCATCTCTTTAGATTCCCCTCAGTTTTCCCTCCTCATCCCCCCATATGATTTCCCTTCAGACTCAGAAACCTTGAAACCCACTTCTCTTCCCCTGCTGAGTTTATATAGTCTAAATAGCTTCATTACTGTGACAGTACAAAAGCCTTTCTCCAACACAAACAGCTGATGACTTTTTCCTGCAGTTCCTGCCTGAAGAGCTCTTCAGCTTACTCTCTTTATTTCAAACAAGTGAGGAGTATGGAATTCCACTTGCTTGAGTCTTTGGCATATAGAATCTACAATTCCTACTAATGACCATGGGGTTTTGTTCGCATTAAAACCCCATTCAAAACACTGAGCATGAACAGTCTGATGGGAGGCAGCAGAGCCTTGAAAGCCCTTGATTGTACCCAACACCAGGTGTAAAAGCAGATGCAGAGGCGTACAATTGGCCTGTCTCTTCAACTCGATGAGGAAGGTGCAAGACCAAGAGGATCTGGCAATTTCATCACCTTCAGCTCCTCATTGGCAAGAAGACATTGATGCAACTGCATCCTGAGAGGTCCTCTTCCCAAAGGCATGTGTTGAGGACTTCAGAAGAGCAGATCTTACCTGCCGGACTTCCAGGCGGTACTTGAGGATGGGATCCACAGCATCAGGCTCCTTCTGTGTCCACTGCAAGATGTATGAGTAATTCTTGGATTGCTTCTGGCTCAAGGTGGGGTTGGGAGTGTCATAGTAAAACTCTGGGCTGTAAGCCTTTGCTGGAGGGGAAAAAAGAAAGGGGTAGAGGAAAGTAAAAGTGTGGGATAAAGGGGAACATAAATTACAGAGAGACACAGTGAGAGTGGAACAGTTCCATCTGCCCAGCTCGTCCACTTGCCTTTGACATGATGAACACTTTTACTGTTGCAGCCGGTGTTGCACTGATGCACCATCATTTTCTGTGAATCATGACTGCTTTCAGAGCCTAAACTACTGGGGAGGTTAGCAGCCCTGCAACACCAGCGGGGCTTGACTGACACCAGAGAAGGTGGGAACAACTTCAGTTCTCCAGACAGAACCAGCTCTAATATTTTCTGTCTTACTTTGCAGTTTAGATTGAGGTAACAGCTTTAAACAGGTATTTCTCCTGTTTCATCTGCTGCTTTACAGAGTCTCCTGCTAACAAACCATGAGGAAAGATCGTTTGGCCAGTAGGTCATAGGAAAAGTGTTATTTATCACACAGGGACCATAGCATTAAAAAGGAGACCTTGCTCCTCCTGCATCAACCCTGCCTTGGCAACACAGTCCTCCAGCCTCTTTCTAACATGACAGTCAACTCGGCAGCAAAGGGGACGCTGACCTCAGCCTGGGCAAAAACAGCAGGAGCTTTTGAAGGGACAGAGATGTCTTTTCTAAACCTACATCTCCCCTTAAAAACAGAGGGCAGCAGGAGGAAGGGAAACATGGGAGAAATTATGTACCAGAGAGAAACTGGATAGTTCAAAGAAGGGATTTCCTGTCATTTCCCCAGCCGCTGCTGTCCTGAATCTCTACCAAACAGAATTCAAATGCTGCTGCCATGCAGCCCAGTGGCTGATGGACTAATGCACAGCGCCCAGAAGCAACTCAAGAGCTTACCCACAAATGGTTTTGCCCTATTTGTAATTACCTTCATTTCACCCTGTGAACTTCAATTTTTGGCAAATCCTGTCCTGGCAGGAGCTGGACCTGAACCCAACCTCTCCATTCTGGATTCAGGTCCAATCTGGACCTGCACAGACCAGAAAGATGGCTGGGCAGCAAGGGGTGCTGGAGAGCAGAACAGGCATAAACATCATCTCCCCAGGCAGTTTGCTGCACCTTTCCACTTGAATCACAGGACCTGCCATTCTGTGTGGTTATAATTAGTCTTGACAAGATTCAATGTTTATTTTTTATTAACTCAGATGGATAATATTGATGTTTATTTTCAAGTCCTTTTTTTCTTATTATTTTTATTGACTTGGATTTTTGCACAAGTGAGAAGTTCAGAACCACCTCAAAGACTAATTGCTGCTTATTCAACTTGTATTGACTGTGGAAGTCAAGCTTCATAATAGATTCTAATACAATATCAGAACTGATGATAATCATCCTCTTGCATGATATTAATTCCTTATTAATTGACTTCAAGATAGAAACAGAAGCTAAAAACCAGCATTCAAATAGAAACAAAGCACATCAAAATACTTCTGGAATTCCCTTTCCAGCAACTTAACCATTGATGGGAAGTTTTCTCTTCTGCTTACAGCTGATGGGAAGAGCTAAAGGTTTTTCAGTCCATCTTTCAGGGGTTTCCTGTGCTTGTGGCTAGTGAGAGTGCAGGTGGGGATCAGTATGGACTGCCCTGACAACTTGCTCAAGAGGATGGGATTGGATGTCTCACTGTCCTTCCAAAACAACTCAGAAAGTTAATCTCCCACCACAGAAGAAACTAATCCCACCCTGGTCAGATTTACACACTGTTTCCAGTATACCTGAACACCTCACAGTCACAAATGAGTCACTCACTCCCTGTCAGATAGGAAGGTTTATGATACTTCTTTCATAGAGAAGAAACAAAAAGAGACTGTGCCATCCTCCCTGCTTGTACTGGAAGGCTGCGGCTGACAAGAATTACAGCTGCAGCCCAAGCGCAGCAGTCTACCTACTGGATTATTTTTCAGGTTGCCCTACGAGCTCAGAAGGTCTAATTGATTTCTAACTGTCCAAGACACAGGCAGAGATGTCTGGAGGTGAAAAGGTACCATCAGATACCAATGCTATGGAAACAGAGAAGGGAGGAAGGAAAAGAAATGCTTGCTGCTTTCCCAATGAGTGGTTTCTAGGGATGAATGCTGCTTTCCGCTGAGGGGATCGTATCTTGTGGTGCACAGCATGGCACATCAGGTGGCAATGTATTTGTTACTACTTCCAGCAAGAAATTCAGGTCCTGGGAGCATTCCAAAGCTTGCTAGGGACACAGTTTGCTGTGGCGGCTGAAAGCAGGATATGGTTTGCATCACTTAGTGACATGAGAGTTGCAGGCATATGAAGAAGGGGTAGAGAGGGACAAAGTTCTCAAGCAAAATCCACTGCCAAACAAATTCCAGCAAATCTCAAGGCAAGGGAGCAAGGTCCTGAAAACGGACCCAAACAGTACAAGTGGTTTGGACTTCCCCATTTCTGAGCATCACAGAGTTACAGCATACCTGAGCTTTTCCAAACCCTTGGAAAGATCTGCTTCAAAACCAGGCCTCTCCAAATGTTATTTATTCTCCTTTGTTCAGCCCTGACTTGAAAAGTATTATAAATTGGCCCTAGGCTGACAACCAGCATTTTGGCTGAATTTATGGCTTATTAAGGCAACTTCACTGGAAAACTCTTCTAGAAACTGGTGCTCAAGTCAATTCTGGGGTCATGGAAAACTCAGGTTTAATGATAGCCGGAGAGGCTAGGTCAGATGTGTGGTTTTAGATGCTATAACTCTGCCATCCCTCTTTGCAGGTGCTGGAGAGGAGTCCTGTTACGGTGCCTGCTGGATTCACAGAACACTGTGAGCAGCAAATCCACTGAGCATAGTACTCACTCCCAGCTCATGTTTGTCCCAGTGGGCACCATGAAATGCAGGCAGATAGCAGACGTAAAGAAGGTACAGGAACACATCATACAGTTTTTGTTTGTTTGTTTGTTTTTAAAGGGAAAAATAGATAGAAACCTGTTAGGAGGATGTAGAGAGCCTTTCACTCCCCCTTGATCAATACCTGTCTACAATAGAGGCTGTCCAAGCTTGAAAACTGGTGGTATAGCCTTGAGTATCTTTCAGGCAAGTGGTCAAACACTGCTACAGTGTACCAGTGGCTGGCGCTAACTGCTCCAGCTCCGTCCCAGATTTGAAGAACTCGATTGAGGCAGGTCTCCCTGTTTGCTTATGGAAATTCATCTGTTCTGAGCACAGCACTATGCTCAGGGGAGGCAGTAGGGGTTGCCTGTACCGGCACTAGTTTATGGGAGCAAGCTTCCCCTCTCCGCTATCCCATCTAACAGCTCACCCCGATGTGCACTCTGTGACTTACCGGACACCTGGAAGAGGCAGGTGGAGACCCCCACGTCGTTGGAAATGCTGCACTCATAGCTGCCGCTGGTCTCCCGGCTGACACTGTCCACCTTCAGCTCCGAGTAGTCCTGCTGCTCTGCCAGCGGCTGCGCCAGAAGGGACCCGTTGAAGCGCCAGACGGAGGTGGCCACCTTCATGGGGCTGCCCTTCAGCATGGTGCAGCGCAGGGTGACGCTGCGCCCCATACCCTGACGCACGTCCTGGAAGGGTGGCTCCACCACAGGGGGGACTGGGGACAGAACAGAGCAACAGACAGGGATGCCATCAGGTAACACACATACCTTGTTAAGCACAGTCACCACAGGGGTGCCTCTGAGGGGATAAACACCTAGGATTTCCAAGAGGATATTGATTTTCTAGCAGGAGCTAGGCTTCATGAAGCCTAAAGCAGCAAGTCATCTGACATCTCCTTCTGACTGGGCTGGGGCCACCTCTCACATCACTCCTATTTACTAGGTAGGGGTGGTCTTTAGTAGGTACTGATCCCACACTGAGACACTGCTCGGAGCAGCTACCAAGCCTTGATCTTTCATGTGAAAAGTGCAGCTCCAGCAGTTGTGTGCCATAGCTTGCAGCCAGTCCTCAAATATTAATCAGAATAACCATGGTCCTCATACCCAGTATAAACTGCACTCCCTGAGCAGGCAGATATGCTCCCAAGCAGTGACATTCATGTTCTTCTGGTCAACATTCGACACGGTTATCTTCAGATGAAGGGATATACACTAACTGTCCCCACAGAGCACAGACCTCAAGGGGTGTTAGAAGGCCTCTCCCAAATACATCAACACAATAGGGACTGGCTACAGGTACTCTGGATCTATTTTTACCTCTAGCAACAATTCCCTTACACTGGGAGGTGAGTCATGTGTCTCCATGTCAGCTTCTCTACCAGTAGTGAGAACTGTGATGTGTTGCCACCTCCTATGTAAAGGGAAGCTACTACATCTTCTTCTTTAACACTTGTAAAAATTCACAGGAACCTCACAACTTGGGCATTGTTGGGGCAGAGCAAGAAGACTGCTCTGGACTGGTATTGCTTGTGTTACCCCTTATTTGGTGCAATGGCAGAGGACTTCAATCTTCACAGCCGTCTGATGAACGTGTTTCACTTGCAGTAAACAATTAAAACACTACAGCACAGGAACAACCAGAAGCTCTTCCTCTAAAATGAGAGGAACTTCCTGAGCACAGAACAGCTGTTAGCCTGAATGCAACAATTTATAGCACCTCCAGCACAATCACAGCTCACCTTGTCCAGGTTCAAAGCATCTCTCTTCCACAGAAAATTCTATGCACTACAGATCTACAAAGCGCCTGCCTCCTCTAAAGGTCCACAGAGCTGTCAAGCAGAGACAGGCTCAAAGACCTGCAACACACAGCATCTGCGATACCACAGACACAGCTCCACCAGGAACAATGGGTTACACAGCCTCCCTGCTGCCCTGAACATAAGTGTGCCCAGAGAGCTCCAGTACACCAGTCACTTCCCCCCTGTAGCCTCACCCAGCAAGACCCATCTACAGCTCCATCTCTATCTTCACCACAGATGAAGGTGGTACATGCACCACCCCATTGGTCTGCATGCACAGTGTCCCCTCTCCCAAGGTCTGCATCTGGGGGTACGCAGTGTGCAAGCATCCCCTCCACCTGACAGCTCTTGTTTGACAGTGGCTGATTGTTTTCTAGGTACCTGTTCCCAACTCTCAGCCTCCAGGCCCTTGGCTGCACTTAAGTGGATTAAAAACAGCCCTTGACTGAGCTCATGTTGCCGTGCTGAGTGGCATGGTCAGCTCATTACAGATGGCTTTGCTAGTGATGTGTCTCTGCGGGTGCTCCAAGTGCTGACTTGCCTTTGGCTCACACGTCTCCCACCTCACAGTGAGAATAATGTGAGAAGTTGTTTGATTAGACCTAGTGCCATGAATGTGTCATCTCCATCCCTAGCTGCTATCCCATTTCTTGGGTCACATCTGCTCCTTAATTGAAGTTGGTGGGGTCTCACATTATAATGAAGGTTAGCTGGTGATGTAGGGGGGAAAAAAAGGAAGAAAAAAAAATAGAAAAAGGGGAGAGAAAGAGAAAGAAAGGCTTAAGAAGTGGCACAGCAGCTCCAGATGTATGCAATGCAATCTATCCAATGAGGAGGACAGAGGGGGTGGGAGAGCAGTTTCCCTCACTGCATCTCTATACAGAGCTGGGACAGGGAAAAGTCTGAAACTGCACAAAGTGCCCTCTGCAAGGACACATGCTGCAAGGAAAGTGGCCTCCTGGACCACACCAAGGAAGTGTCTGGGGCTGGTAAAGGGCCACAGAGGAGCAGGGGTGGGAGACTCCAGATGCTTCCTTAGGTCACAGAAGCAGCAGGGCAGCCAAGGATGCAGAAGATATTCAATCTTCTTCAGCTGGGAAACGGGATTTACATGATTTACACGGGGACAGGCTCTGGGCCTATGTTATCACCTTGCGAAGGGAATGTCTGAAAGTGCCTATATAATAAAAACTGATTGCATTTTCTCCTCTTGCCTCTGGCACTAGGAAACGCCCAGTGAGCATCAACTCTGCAGGTAACCCTGGAGCCCCTGGGGTTTCTGGAGAGAGAGCTGAAGCCAGTCATCCCGTCACTGCAAAGGATGCAGTCCTACGCCAAGGGGCCACTATTCCCAAAAGCCGCCAGAAGACATGAAAGCAAAGAAAGGTCAACAGCAATTACAGAGCCAGACATCAGTTCTGGCCTCCAGTGACTATTGGGGAGCCCATATTTCTTCAAGTAGCTTGTACATAAAAGGAAGACCCACTATCAAGGCTAGAATCAGTCTGCAAACCCTAGCAGATAACAACACAGCCTTTTCCAATTTCAGTCTTAAACGCAAATAAAGCTTGTTTAATTGAGCTGGTGCTCTGATTCCCCAGAACTGGGAATCAAACAGGTCCAGGACATATGAGATGGTGATTGTCTCAGAGCAGAGACCTCCAGCATGCTCCCTGCATGGACACCTTTAGGGAGCTGCAGGAAATGATAATGATTTTCCAGGTGCCTCTCATATCCACAGGGAAGCAACATCCCTGCTGGCTGCAAGGGAGCAATTCTGTTCTGGCTCATTAAGCTGCCATGATACTCTTTGGGAGCTTGGATATCAACCCCAGTTTTTAGCCCATTTCCAAAGGCAGAAGTCCTTGTCCAGGGGCTCCTCAAATGCCTTTCTGTATCTCTCCTGAACTCCTGTGCATGTAGCTGAAGCAGCCACGTTGCAAGCAGCAGGTTGCAGCCTTTCAAGGAGGTTAAAAAACCTCTCTGCATATACAGGTCTTCGGGATCCCCTGGTAAGAAACACAGCAAATATAGATGATTACTGTTTTCTCTTGGCATGCAACTTAATTCTAGAAGAGATAGCTGAGAGGAGGAGTGATGAAAGGGGTGAAGAGGGCAGTGCATTACCATTTTAGGCAACACTGAAAGAGTGAGGCTCCTCCAGCAGCCTTGTTAAACTGGCAGCCTGCCTTTGCAGCAGGAAAAGCTCGCTGGGAGCAAATCAATTCAGTGGAATACAGTCAACCTACTCCAGCATGCCAGGCACCCTAAGGCAAAACTGGGTTGCAGGCAGCTCCCCTGATGCGAGCCGGAGCAGATGCTCTGCACTGAAGGGTTGCTAAGCTAGCACAGTGTTCATAATGATGAAGGGCAAGAGCAAGGGATGCACAACAGAGAAATGTCAAGTGTCCAGGGGTGTTGCTTTGTTCCCCAATAATCTCTTATTTTCTTGGTTTCACCGGAAATAACCAGGACTGAAATGCTCATCCTGCTGGGTAAGCAAGAAGTGCACTGCTTGTTGAGATATGGTCAAGCCTGTAAGTATTTGTTTTAAGTCTATTTTTATTTAGCCTTGAGGAAGGGAGGAATGTCCTTCCTTACAAAAGCCAAAGTGCTGGGGGAGAGACCAGTGTTCTTACACTGTTACTGTACTATCCTGTGTGGTCACAGCTTAAGAAGGGGTACTCCGTGGTTCCTGCAATACTGCCTCATTGCTGCAGGTTCTCATCAAATCCACACGCCTCCAGAAGGCAGAGAGGCTTCTTTCACCAGCGGTGAGGTCAGAGCATCCCAGGATGGCAGTGATGCACTGTGGAATTTTTTTCACTTGTTGGGTAAATACAGAAAGAAAATTTGAAGTGGTTTGTTGTTTTTTTTTCCACTTTAAAAAATGTGGATGTTGTCATGAAGTTGCCTGATCTGGTGTGGATGAAAGGCAAGAAAGGCTCATGTTGGAGTGGACTGATGCACAAGGATCAATGACAAGCTTAAATACAAACCAGTATCCATAGAATAGGGGAACAGTGGGTGAATAGACCTCACATTAAGAGCTCAGGCAAGAACTGAGAAGGTCAAAAATCCTAAACACCACAGTACAACACTATGATGCAAGACACATGCAAAGTCTGCTTTCCCACTGTAGTGTGAGGGCTATGAATAGAACATCCTGGTCAATAACCACTGCTGGCTCGTTTTGAAAGGGCTGTCAGAACTGAGGAGCACACTCATAACCTGCTTTCTGACTCACAGATAGCCCTTCACCCCTCTGTAGCGCCCTGACCAGCAGCTGACAACAGGCATCCCTGCAGGTGGTCAGCCGCCTTGTGTTGCACCATGCCCATGGCAGCTGCACTCTCATTTTTCCATAGGGATATACTTTCCACAATGCTTCCTCTGCTGCAAAGAGAACCATAGGGCAGCAGTGTCCAGGTGGAGAAAGAGAAGCAGAAAGAAAGCCTGCCTGAGGTCACATGAGCCAGGAGCAGCAGGCAGAAGCAGCACGAGTCCTGTATCCTGACCTGTGCTTCAGCCCTCAGCCCAGGCTTCCTACCCTGTGAAAAACACCCTCTACTCTACCCTCCAGATCCAGTCACATTTACATTTTTATTTAAATCTACAAAGTGCAACATGTAACACAAGTGATGAAAATAGCGAGCCTTGCTAGATTAGGACACAGCTTTATTTTCAGCAGGTCTCATCTCACTGCTGAATGACTGCCTCCAAGCTTAGCCGTGCAATCACAGACTCAGTGGGAGTCCTGCTTGTAGTCTTCACCTTAGCCCATGTTGACAGCTAATTGACCACTCACTTGCTGGATTAACATTGCAAAGGACACACAAATAACCTGGTATGAAAGACAGCATTTCATGTTTAATTATAATTATTAGGAGTATTTCATTAACCAAAATGGCTAACAA